TGAACAGGGGATGGCTTTCAAGGTCAAGTTCTGAACAGGGGATGGCTTTCAAGGTCAAGTTCTGAACAGGGGATGGCTTTCAAGGTCAAGTTCTGTTTCACCCGGGCTTTGGTAAGAAGTAATTGTCTTGGGGTCTCCTCTGCCATGCTTCATTGCCCAACTGTCTCTACAGAGGGATAGGAAAGGATAGGTTTAAAAAATTCTAGAAAAAATTCTAGCCACTGCTTACTTCTTCTCAGGGGGAACAGGGATCTCTTTATCAGCTGTGCTCAGCTGAATGTTAGCTGGCAGACCCACACTCTGAACAGAGAAGCCATTCACATCTACAGTGCGATTTTATCGATGGCTTAGCCGTGTTTAACTGATTTCCTCTTATTTTACTTTCTAGGGAAACACTACTTGTTAGATTTTAAACATAAATATGAAGGATTTCGGGTGTTCTCAGATGTCTGGGAGCGGGGGACAAGGAGAGGGTGTCGGGGTGCGTTTGTGGGCTCCCCCTCTTCTATCATCTGTGATTCACGCACCACATGACTGCGGCCCATTTTGCTATTTCTTTAAACAATAGATATTTGGATATAAGTTTTATTATTACTCAATTTCTTTTAAACTTAGTAATAAATTGAATCTATTTTCAGAGTGATTTGTAGGCCATTCAGATGTCTGTTAGATTTACTTTGAGGAATTGGAAAAATGTTAAATAAACAAAGTATCTGTACAGTGCCTTATAACTGGATAAGGTCAAGAAATGCAAGGAGAGAAGTGGGATTTTTCTTTCACTTTCACATCTCTTTGCTCCGGATGTTAAATCACGGCTTTGAAGTGACGCTATCAGACGAGAGATCAGACAGACTTTGCAGGAAGAGCCCGGAGAGTCTCAGCACCCACACTGCCAGCACAACTTCTCCACCCGCTAGCTGAGCTCTCTGACCAGCTCTCGGATGGCCTTCAGAATGGAGACATGAAGGTCTTTAAAGCCTTTCAAATTTAGCTTGAGGAAATAGCTCTCTGCACACTCTGTTCAGGGCCTTCATTATTCTGTGATGCTTCTGCTCAAATGTACCATTGAGTTTTTCAGTCTTCTCCTGGGTTACCTGCTTGCATCTGGTCTTCCCTCTGCTTAGATCTGACCCAAGTCACTAGAAATTGCATGTTAATCTGATCTTTCTTTGAAATTGTGCTTCAAAGAAAAATTCAATTTACCTTGAGCTAAATGCCCATCTCCCCTTGCTTAGCACCTACTGGCTATATTTCCCCATGAAGCAATGCAAAGATTTTACTGAACACCACAGCAATATTATCCAGGGCTCACAAACCTGCATTCATGACAGGTGAGGTCTAAGTTAACTCAATTTGCAGTGCTGGAGTTCTGTGCTTAAAGAGACTATGTTTGAGCAGCACCAAGATTCTATAGAAAATGGTCCCACCCTACTCTCCACAATCACTGCCCCATAATTACTTTCTTCCCAATTAGTGAGATATTTACATCTGATACTAAATGAACACGGAGTGGAAATGAATGAAATGGGATGCCGGCGAGCTGTGGTTTCTCGCCACAACGTTACTTTCTTTTAAAATCACATTTCAGCTTCCTAAGGACAAAACTAGTGGACAGTCAGAAGAGTTAAGAAAACATACTTTAAAAATAGATGACTGAGTTTTAGGCCATTAGCAGGAAAATACGTTCATAATTTGTTTAACCTTTAAAATACGCAGATTCTCTAACTGCTCATTTCTCAAGATTCTGACTAATGTGGGAGTCACTTCTCGGTTTGTTTAGAGCTGCACCTGAGTGCTGTCTGAGCCCACCACTCAGGGGACACTTCCAGTCCCCGGCCATGTGGGTCTCGTGTCTTGGTAAACGTGACTTTCTTTCTTTTTGCTGTGCCTGCTCCCTTCTATGTCCACACAGGAATACAGAGGTGGAGGGCTGCAGAAAATGCCGGAGTCCCTGTGACTTCACCTGACTCCCGTCTCTCACCCCGTGTGGGGACAGCCCCGCTGTGCAGCCGGGAACGGGGGTCCCTCCCTGGGTGTGCACGGCCATCTGTACATGAGTGTGAGGCTCACGAAGCAGATGTCGTAGGACAGTGGTGGCCGGATGTGGGCGGGTCAGAGAGTGTGATAAACACATCCATCCCTGAGGTCAGGTCTGGCCAGGAAGCCAAGCCTGGGAAATCTGCTCCTGGGCCCTGTGAAGAAGGCTGTGAGTCAGGCTGTTTTGTTTATTTTTTTTTTAATGCCACAAGAAGTAAAGTAAACTAGGTTATAAAAACACATTTTATTGCACTTTGAGATTTTTCTCATGAGCAAAGCTTGGCTTTCCTCTTTCTCATTTTGTGTACGGTTACTGCAGAGAATCTGAGAAGCAGCACCAGTGCTCAGCGGGGCTGAGCTCCGTCTGAGCTTGGCCAGGGCTGCTTTACACATGGATCACCCTACAGTCCCAATGCACTCTCAGGACTGGCTCTGTACTGAGCATATTTGGATGCCATGCTAGCTTTTTATTCCAAGACAATGTCCAATTTTAGCAAGCAGCCTCAACTCCGAAGCCAAGCCTATAAGCACGTTTACAAAGGAAATAATTTGTTCAGTGTTTGGATGGGGGAACTTACGCACATATAGCCCCCAGTAATAAACAGAAAAGGAGGTCTCCTTGTAAATGTTTCCTTAAGTTTTTAATGCATTGCTCAGGATGCACGCAATGCTTTAAAGTTCTCAGAAAACTTACGGGAATTCCATCAGCACCAGGGAATCCAGAAACGCCTCTCGCTCCCTGTGAAGAAGGAAAACAGACTCAGCCAAGGCCGAGGTGCCCCCCACCCGCAGGGAGCCAGGGGACACCCACGGGGACCGTACCACGTCTCCTTTCGGTCCTGTTATTCCGGGAGCTCCTCGTTCACCTTTGTCACCTTTGCGTCCCTGCAGTCCTGGGAATCCTTGCAGGCCCGAGGGCCCGGTGTAGCCCTGAGGGCCCACTGGCCCGGGCTGACCCTGCGGGAACAACACAGGGTCAACTTGCATAATTAATGACAATAAATACTCATTTTTAGTTCCAGTTACTTTAAAATTACACTCTTAATTCTCAAAGAGCCCTGATCGTCAGAGAGCATCACATGCAAACAGATGACCAGCTACTACCCGAGAGCTACACAGTAATTTCTGGTTAAGGAAAGAAGCCAGAGAATGTAAGAGAAGAGAATATTAAATGTCGAAAAAATTATCCTGAATTATTAAAGTGATGTTACGGGATGTTAATAATATTGGGTTGGGATGAAAGAACAGCTTTATTTGGCTTATTTTAAAGCCTTTTCAGTATAAACAAAAGATCCAAACAAACTTCTGCAATTTTATCTCTGTTTTTCTCAGTACGATGCACACAGTAGGTGTGGAGATACATGTTGCTTCCAGATATCAAAATGACACCAGGTGTTTAAGTGATTAGAAAATCTCTCCTTTTGTCCACACATAGAAAAAAAGGAAAGGGTTTCCTCAAATATATAAAAATGTATGTCCACACTCCTTAGAACAGCTACTACTACATTTAAAAACCCCAATTAAAAGTGTTGCTGAGGACGTGGAGCAGTCAGAGCACGTGTATTGCTGGAGGGAATGTGGAACGGTGCAGCTGCGGAACACAGTCCAGCGGCTCCTCAGAAAACTAAGAAAGGGAACTGACACAGGACCCAGCAATTCTGCTCCTGGGTACATCCCCAAAGAACCAACAGCAGAATTCCAGCAGGTGTCTGCACACCCACGTCACAGGTGCTTTATCCCGACCAGCCGGAGGGTGGAGGCGACCCACATGTCCAGGGTCGACGAGTGTGCAGACACAGCGTGGCTGAACCTCAATGAGATGCCGCTCAGCCCCGGGGAGGAAGCAGGGGCACACGGATGAACCTGGGGCTGTCTGTCACCCTGACTGAAGTGAGCCAGGCACAGAGGGAGGACACCATGCGGTTCCATGTCTGTGAGGCCACAGAAGAGCCACACCACAGAGACAGAGGGTAGAAGCTGCCAGGGCTGGGAGGGGAAGGGGGTGACAGCCTGAGGGCCGGAGGCCGCACTGCCAGGTGAGTGTGTTAATGGCACTGTCCTGCCTCTGAACATGGTTAACAGAGAGATCTTGTCACATATGTTTTAACCATAATAAAAAATTAAAAAAACAAATATTTTTAAGATATAAATTTACTACAACAAAATATTTTTATAAATGAACAAAGGAGGGGTGACAGTTCCCTCCTACTGAGGGAAGCAAGTCCTGTATTACAGTCGGTTTCTAATCGTCCACAGGTTCGCCCGAATGAAAAGATACGTCTTGATCACTCCTCTGATGAGTGCGTCTGTTCACTCGTACAACCTGTCTGTCAAATGCCATTTACTCTTCCAATTCAATTCTCGTCTTGCCCTGAGATGGGGGGCTGGGCAATTTTTCTAATCTTTATCTCCCTTGCTCACAAGGAAGCTGCCCTGTGGAACTGTCCAGCTAAGAAGTACGTCCTTCACGGACTATGATGCTGTCCTCACACTCCACACAGCTGCGGGGCAGCAGTGACCTCATAGAGGCTTCTGCACGGATGGGGGTGGGGAGCTCCCACCTGCCCAGGTGCTGGGGGAGGCAGCGAAGGTGACTCTGAGTGGAAGAGACCCACGTGGTTAAGATTGTGGTCAGAGGATGTGATTAAGACAATTTATCCCATAGCTTGGGCACAAACCAAGGTGAGCTGAGAAAGCTCCCTGGGGACCCCTTCTGGGCCAAAGTCTGAGTTTTAGGGAAAGAAAGCTGTCCTCTGTCCTCTACAAGCTCCTGGAGAGTTCTGTTGATGCCTCAGGCAGCAAACACTCAACAGGGGTGTCCTGGTCTGCAGTGCAGCCGGCAGGGGCAAGGCTGTGCATTTTAATCAACTTTGGAGAACATCATACGTGTGAGTATGGCCCCGAGTGTCCTGCCAGCTGGGCAGAACAGTGGTAACAGACGGGCGGCACTGACCCTGGACACACGATACCCAGGCTCACTCTGTCTAACACTCAGAAGTTTCATTACGTTACAGTTGTTGTAAGTTTGGGAATAAAACACGATCTGATATTGATTTTTATGGCTCTTCCCCAGCTGTGCCCAGTTTAGTTTTGTCTTTGGCTGTGCTGGAAAATAACCAGGCCACGAATCTCAGCTGCCCTGATCATGCTGAGACTGACAGTTTGCTGGTGTTTACACTTAACATCTCTAGGGGGATAAAATGTTCCTTGATAGTGCCGTCATTTTTTCTGTCTATAAACCCTGGAACCATCCAGGGGGATTAGTTTATAGAGCCAGTGAAAGGGAACACGTGTGCCTCCACGATGAAGAGCCGCGTCCGCGCTCGCTGCCTGTGACAGGACGTGCGGGCCACCACACGTGCCCACTCCCTTCACTGTCAGCCCCCTTCTTTTCGCTGCCTGTGACAGGACGTGCGGGCCACCACACGTGCCACTCCCTTCACTGTCAGCCCCCTTCTTTCTAACCTTTACTTCTTGGATAGGAACTCTGATTTTTGTAATCAGTCTCTACTCTTTCCCTTTCTGAAGCATGATGCCACATTTTGTTTTTACTGAGGTGAAGTTCACATAATGTAAACCATTTAAAATGTACAAGTTGGTGACTTTAGTACATTCACCGTGTTGTGCAGCCAGCGCCTCTGTTTCCAGAACATTTTTATCACCCCAAACCCATGAAGCAGTCACCACTCATCCCCACCCATCCCCCAGCCCCTGCCGTCCCTGTTCTAGATATTTTCACACATGGGCTCACATGACATGATGTGCGTCAAGCTCACCAGCATTGCAGCATGTACTGGTTCTGTAGTCATTCCTGTGGATGAATAATGTTCCCTGGTCGGGACAGACCACAGCATGTCCCCTTGTCCACTCAGGGACATCTGGGAGTGTGTGTGTGTGAGTCTGAGTATGTGTCTGAGTGTCTGTTAGGAATTATTTTGAGTCTATTTCTGGGTGGAACTGCTGGATCCTAGGTCAATTCTATGCTGGGGCTGTTGAGCTCCTGGCAGTCTCCACAGCGGCTGTGCCACGTCCCATCCCCACCAGCAATGCAGGGGGTTCCGATTCCTCCACATCCTCACCAGTGCTTGTGAGTTTGCATTTTCTTTTTGGCTATGGCCATCCTAACTGGTGTCAAGATGTACACGCCATCCTGAGCTTCTGATGGAATGGAATATTCCACAAAATTCAATCCAGCTTCCCTGCTGAGGAAGTGCTGGAGAGCCTGGGGACCCTGTGAGGAGCCCTTGCTGCTGCCCTAGTGTGACCCCTGCCTGCTGGGCTGTGCACATTCTGGTCAAGGCCAAGGACGCATGTGAGGCACACTTTAGTCATGAGGGCCTGAGGCTTCCCCAGGACGTCCTGCCTGCCAGGGAAGTCTGGTGCTTGTAAAGAGCAGCTGGGAGGATCAGGTAGACGCGAGGGGGTTTCCTTTGTACTAATCAGCATCATCATTGTCAACTCCCATCCTTAGCTGAAAAGTCCCAGTGGGAGAAGTTATTTCCATCTCTTCCTTTGCTGCTGCACTAAGTGACCTTAACATAAAATTACCACAGAAAGAGGAAGAGTCTAGTTTAAATGTCTGTGCATAAATCTCAAAAGCTTTTAAACTTCTAAAGTGCCTAAAATTCCTCCGGTATCCCTGATAAAAGCATTTCCACAAAACGTTTCTCACATGCCAGCAGATGCGTGGGAAAAAGACACGACACCATGTCCCCTGCTCCCGTCCCCCAGGTCCCCAGCACACAGTTCAACCCGTATAAATGATTACTTCCTAGGAAACAGGATCATGAAAGGTATCATTTGATTGTCTAATTTTTAGGGACAAAGCATGTCACAAATGTGAAAAATGGGTTATCTCCTTTTGTCCCAAAGGCAGCTGCATGAAGTGACATGAACTCTGGTGGAGAGGAGATTACTGGGGCCAGGGTTGGGCCAGCATCAGGGCTAAGCGGCAAATGTAGCTCTGGAGAGTGGGTGGGTCCCACTGTGTCCTTAACACCCACCACGAGGTCCGCACCTCTTGGTGATACAGTGTCTCAGGCCTGGTGGCCCCAGAACACCTGAATCTGCATTTAACCTGGTCCCTAGGGTCCTCTCTGCGTTCAGTATGGTAAATGAGGCACAGTGAATACCACCCTGTCCCTTCCTGGTGTGCTCAGTGCAAGACCTGGTGTCTTTTAATAGGAAATAGCTCTTCAGCATGAGGTTGGCCCTCAGAAGAAAGGTCTGGCTTACTGGGGCAGGCAGAGAGAAACAGGGTATTTATGTTGATTAAATATTACTTCTAATTAGCCTCATGCTTCAGTGATAGCTAGAAGACATGAGAGTTTTGATCATCGTTAGGACAGAGGGGTGAGCATGGCTTTTCCCTATGGAGTCTGTGGGACTCCAGGAGCAGTTTTGGAAGCTGCTATCTGGAAAGGCAGAAACACGGAGTCCAGACTCAAATCCACAATGCTCAGACACCACCACCGGGGACAGTGGGCACTTCCAGAGTCCGAACGTAAGAAGTGCTCATGAACTGGGGAATTTCACATCTGGGTAAGCAGCAGATACGGTGCATGTCAAATCCCTTCAGGCATATGTAGGAAGATGATGATTTATCAGGGCTTCCAGAAAGGTCCCTCCACTTTCCTACAACCCCAAGCTGCTGCCTGTTTCCATTCATAGTTTATTAACCTTAAAATATTCCTTTGGTAAGGGAGTAAAAAGTTTCATTTATCAGAGAAGAATAAAAAACCGTTTCCAAGGATAAAACTCGCTTGACTGCACATCAGGGCTTCTAATCTACAGCGCAGGATTTTCCTGGTGGGATAAGAATGAGCCTTTCATGACTTACTGGCTAGCATCTGAATAGTAGGAAATCCCTTCTCCTCCGTCAGCTGACTCTTCCTGTCTCACCTTTTATGGGCACAGGCGCCCACCAGACACCCATATCCTCTGCATTCCCCAGGGCG